ACTACACGTATTCGCTTAAAGTTTGTTTGTCACAGATACGTACTGTTCATGTTATTAATACATGCACAGTTCTACATGTGATACATGATGCTTTCATTCTTTCCAACCAAGAACTTGTAAGACTAGCCTGTGCGCGGGCGATGGGCTTTTAGTGTAAAGGTTGTGAATAAAGAACTGTGGGCAAAATATGCACCGTACACATCATCAATTTACACACTCTGGAATTTTAAAAGATTATACATTATATATATATATAGTTATATAATATATTTATAAATGTGCATATATAACTATTTTGTTTATGGCACGGGCAAATGTTTGGTCACATTACAAATAGGCGTTTATGTTGACAAAACGGAGTGGCCGACAATTTTCTAATAGAGAAAACACCGACAAGCATCATCGCCTGAATCATGTACATATCACACAGTCATGGCGATTGTCTTTTATAATATTAAAATGTCGATTGGACTAGAACTTGTATGGAAACGTCATACGTTCTATAGTAGTACCTGCATTGACTTATAAAAAAAATGGTCTTAACTCAATCGGAATAAAATAAGGACTGCCTCAACGGTTGCTTAGACCTCAGACAAGTAATAACAATTACTGGTCTGCGCTTAGACGCAAAGAAATTGATCTTCTAATTGTTTGAAGGATCTGGTGTATAGTTTCATTCCAATTGATGTTAATCCATTATCGGCGTGACGTAACTATACTACTAGTAACTGCCAGAAATGACAAGCTTAAAACATGTAATCATGGAGGTATAAACTGTTATACCTCCATGATGTAATATACTATAGCATGGAGATACTCTCCATGATAGAACAAAATAATCACGAGCAAAATGTGTCATAATAACAAACACTAAATGTGAACGCAGTTTCTCTATCATCACTGTAGATAGACTTTGTTATAAAAGGGGAAGATTAAACACATGCAAATTAATGTCTTGATGTAGCAAATGTCACCACCGAATCGAACGACTACTATTTCACCGGCGACTTTTAGATTCATAATAGGCCACGGTTATTGTATATATTATATTATGTATCTGCAGTCTATAAAATTATAATAAAATATAAATGAATACTTCATCTGGACTGATCATGAAATTACATGAGTAAACACTTTAGTGTCATTACGACGCAAATAATCATACACACATGTTTTATAAACCTTTTTTTGTTGAGTTATTTTCATGATGATTATTTTATGGTTAGTTACGGCTATACAATTTGAATTTTGAATATAAATCCACCCTACTGTGACTGTGCTAGGGGGTACGATGTTTATACAATACGTATCGGGAGTAAACCGTTAAACAGACGCAAATATGATGGTAATGCCCGAATCGCTATTTTTTTATAATTGATTCAACGACGACATACTGTTATTAACTGAGGTTATAAGATACACAACACATCTAAATCGCCCGTGTAGTTAAATTGATTTATTATTCAAAAAAAAAAAAAAAAGTTGCGTCTTTTGTGCTCATAGCAACTGCCACCATGGTGTAAATAAAGCGAGGGCAGTTACGATAGGGGTGCGATTGATAGGCTCGGTCGCCCTTACACGTGATCGCCCCTGTTTATTACGGTCGCATCAACCTGTGACAACGTCGCTCAGTTTCATGGTTAATATGAATTTGAAAACCTTGACGCAATGTCCTCGACTTCCCCTTACATGGACCGGCTCAGGGACACAAAAACAACTATTTTATTTCTATTGTACTTACGGTTGCAATGCCGTGTCGTATTATGTGATCACGACTGGTTTGACTATGCCGCCGGAACAAATCGAGTTACTAGTAATTTCTGTAACAGTAAACCATCTGTTAACAATGACTCATTCTTACTAGTATTTTTTTCGCGAAGTAGAGAATTTATTCCGCATAGTCAATTAAATTGACTTGTCGGATCGGAGACTACGTATTTATATGGCCTACAGTTAAAAAGCCCACCTTGCAGTACAATCTGGTTATTATGTTTCAAATTATTGCGGTCGTATCATCCTATAAAACCTGTGACTTGAGGTGAAGTCTTATATACGAATAGTCCAGAACTCTGTGCCATGCCCTTTGTGAATTAGCTTTCGTTTTTCATTTAATTTTAATTCCTGAAACGATGACCTTCAAGTAAAGAAAAAGATTAGAATTGTTATGGTATACAATTCAAGTTGTATCACACTTCACAATCACAAATTCGCATTTTCGCCCTGAAATGATATACTAGTATCGTTCAAATTGTCTTTTTATAGTATCATTCAAAATATCTGGGCATTTATTACTAACTTAAATAGTTTATACATGTAGTTTTGTACCGGTTTATGTGCTTGTTAAGTAGCTGAGCCGCGACGAAATCTAGTAGCGCAGACTCTATTTTTGCAGTCGTGACTATTTTATTTCTTTTTTAAAATGCGAGATGTACTAGCTTACAACACATCACATACACTGGAAATAATTACAGTGATAATATCACGGATCATAAATGGTTATAGATTGATAGAATGTTTTTATTTGGAACGTACCAATGAAATCTTGAATAAAGTTCAAAAATAACAATAACAAAACATTCAGAACAACAAAAACTTACAGTACTAAAACATATCAAGAATGTAGAAAATAAATTTTGCAAAAATGCTAAGAATGAAAAACTCATGACTTGAAACAATAATAGGAAATAATTCATCCATGCTAACAACTTCCAACTTTTATATATTCATAGAGAGATATGCCGCTCTACAATATATATTAACGTACGTCTGTTGACTTTCACGACTTGGGTTACGTGTTGCAGCACAGACAGTATAGTAGGATACTATACTGTCTATGGTTGCAGCATGGTTGCAGTAACATCGTCCGGATCGCTTTCTGGTCTGTCACAACTTATTACATGTTTACTAGTATGTACTACCTTGTAAACAAATAATGATAACTCAGAGGAAGGATTATCATTTTGCCACCAAGGTTTATAGGATTATTTTATTGTAATCAGGGCGGTGGTTTTACAACGAATGTCACGATAGTTATTACGTAATCATCTATGTACAGTGAAAAATGTAATACACTATCTATATATATATGTGTGACAGAATACCCCGCGATAGTCGAAATTTGGTCCGACTAAAAATAAAACATTCACCTCTATTCTCGGGGGCGGAGTACGTCACAAGACGTTCCATGTTGCTAAGACTATTTCTACGGGCTCTGTGCAAGCTGCCGTGGAACGCCGGTGAAAACAGCTAATAAAAATAAAACAGCACAATCTCAACTACGGGGCAATCTTGAACAACCAAATTTATATATGTTGTACATGCAAGGTTAATCCTGTTACACTGTTCAGGAGAGTAGAACAAACTGTAGTTTGAGCTAGCTTTTTAGAGTTTTCGACTATTGTTTTCACCGGTTGTGGTCCGCCCCAAGAATAAGGGCACTGAGATTCATCACTAGATAATTATTTAATTTTCATATTACCAAAAAAATAACATATATCATCAATTCGTAGAAAGAGCGTCTCTAAAACTATTGCACATAATTGCCTTTATTATACCTAAATGAAGTGACACGAACAAACATGCAACATTTTCGGTGTTCCGAAGTACTATCACAGTCCCTCAACTTGCAATAACACCTGTTGAGGGACTGTGATCGTAACTACTGGCAATGAACTCCCCTACAATACCATATTGTGTTTTCGATTTCTAGTTTGATTACAGGCGCGCATCCAATCTTACATACTGAACTGCTGACACAGACCTCTTCTCATTCATCCGTTTTGGATTCTGAAATACATATCATTTTCTGATATTTGCCCACCCATACTTGATAAAACTCTGTCCAATTTGAATGTGCCACTTCTAAGAAAGACATTCTTGATGTGAACGTGCCGCCAGATCAGGTTAACTTTACCAAGACAATTAATTCCTGGACATAATGAGGGACTGAATTTGTATGGACAATGGTCCAAATT